GAAGAGGGAGCCCCGGGAGATGAAGGTGCATCCCCCAGAGAGGGCACGCTGGAAAGGGGTCACCGCAGGGAGGAGACAGCAGAGAAGATGGGGGTGAATAGGGCTCTTCGGCATCCAGGAAGTCAGTGGTGTCCAGGAGAAAGAAGTAGCAGGTGTGAAGGCAGCCGAGTGAGGCGGGGCCAGTGGGTGGGAGTGGGCCTCCCTGAGGGCAGAGAGGCTACTGTAGGATTTTCTGTCTCCCAGCTTTCCCTGGGCTCTCAGCACCTCCAGAGAGACCCAGAGGGAAGGAGGGGGACATGCAGCCAATCAGAAGCCTCACCTTCCACCCAGTGTCCTCTGGAGCCCCAGGAGTGGAAAGAGTGAGGGGGCCACAGAGAGGACAGAAGGTGCCCGTAGCCCGGGGCAGTTCTCAGGCCTGCAGTCTCCACAGAGCCTGGTGCCCCCAGACAGACTGAGCTTTGGGGCTCAGGGTTTCTGGGAGCCTCTGAGTCAGGAAGCCCCTCACCTGTCCTGGCTGCTGCACATCTCCTGGAGGCAGGGCAGCTGCAGCCCGTGGACCACACGGGCCTCAAACAGGAACTTAGGAGCCCAGAAGCCCAGGGCTCCGGTCACAAAGGCCATAGCTGTCACTCCCAGGGTTGACCACACGAAGCTCAAACTGCAAGAGAAGGTGATCTGGGTGAAGCCGGGGAGAGCTGGGCCTGCATCTCGGCCTTTCCCTCTGCGCTCCAGCACCTCCTGAGGAAACCAGTGCCTCCCACCTGCACACCTTGCTCAGCTGCGTGCTCCTCCCTCCTCCAGGCATCTCGAAAGGCCCACCTCCAACGCCACCTTCTCCTGGAAGCCGTCCCTGGTCCCTCTCCCTCTCCGCCCCCTCGCCTGGTCTGATGGCCCTGGGACCAGGACATCGATGTCCCCTGCCCATGTCCCACATCCCAGGAATTCATGAGGCCTGAGAGTCCACTCGATTCCTGTCCACAGCCCCATCCCCCTTGCCTGGGACAGGGGACGATGCAGCCCCAGGAAGCTCCGAGGGGTGACGGGGTAACTCCCAGCCCCTCCCAGCAGCCCCAAGAGGCGAGCAGGCCGGAGATCCTGTCCATCAAATAAATGAGGACATTGAGTCACAGGGACAGCACCAAGGCAGAGCCTACGCCCCTGCCTCCTTCCCAGCCCTCACCTGTGGGTGGGACGAAGCCCTTGGGCCAGGTGGAGCAGGCCCCAATGGTGAGGTAGGAGCTCAGAGGAGGTAGAGGGCTGGAAAAGCTGGGCCAACCAGGGAGGGCTCCCTGGAGGTGGCGACAGAGAGGTGCAGCTAGAGGGGACGTGGCTGCTCTGTGGCATGCAGTAGGCAGCCGGGACACTCACTTTGTGGCCAGGTATCTGACGTCCCCACACCAGCTGCTCCGGGGGAGCCCCAGGATGGCCTCCCCCTGCTTCTCCGAAGCTCCCCGGGGCGGGTCTGGAACCAGGCAGAGGAGCAAGACCAAGGCCACGAACTCCAGGCAGGGCATGATCTGGGACAGGAGGGTCCAGGATTTCAGGGCCTCACGCTGCCCAGGCCCAGGGGGCCCTAGGGGTGGGAACGGTGTAATCCAGCCTGGGCCCGGGCGCTGCTCACTTCCTAGGTGCTGGTGGCATCGTGGTGACACATTGGCCTGCTAACCACAAGGTCAGCAGTTCAAAACCACCTGTCGCTCTGTGGGAGAAAGGGGAGGCTTTCCCCCTCCCGTAAAGAGTTACAGTCTTGGAAACTCTAAGTCGGCATCGACTGGAGCTTGTTTTTTTTGTTTGTTT